CTGCATTTCAATTCTCAGAAGCAAAAAAAAAGTATCTCCACGATAAACACTAAACAGAATTGCAAATACTCCATGAACAGTAGCGACAATAGTTTCGCACAAAAACGCACAGGGTGGGTAATAAACGAAACGAACTGACCGTTCGACGGAAAAAGCCCTTGCAACCGAAACAAGCAACCACCCCGTAATGACGTCCGCTTGCATCGTCGTGGCATACAGAACTGAAATTATTCCCGTATTCACTGCACAGAATCCACCATTCAGAAGAGAAAGGAAAAAGAAACCGCTAGGTTTAAAAGATGCTGGGTTCCAATGGGCGAAGTTCACGAAACCCGTTCAAATCCAAAGACCATCTTCAAAGCCATCCCTTCACGACCGTTCACCCAAAAATTGCTCACAATGTGATACGCGCACTGTAAACTCTCTGTACCAGCAATGTTCTCTACTGTATGGCCGCCGGCTGTCAGTGGTTCGCTCGATCACTGATTTGGGAAGGACAGAACCACCCATTTCGAGTGAACGGCACAAAACCACGGAACGCTTCTCTTTGGTTTTTAGCCGGGAAACGATGGCGAATTTGTGTATATAGGTGCAGAAATCCGCTAAAAAGGGAGACAATCCGGCATCACGCAACTCGGCTACGCAGCAGGAAGGCCTAGCCTGGTCGTAGCCACGGTGAACACGCTCCGGTAATGCTATTGGTGCCTAGTGCCAGCGCTGCCGAAGGGATGATTAGCCGTGTCATGGATATTCAAAAGATTCGCAATGAAAAAGTGGAGGGTAGCGACCAGTGCATACACGTACGCTTGCTAATTTCTCGCATATCAAAGAGATGGTACTCGATATTCTCCTTTTTGCACTGCAAATGCAGAAACATGTAGTGGCGTAAACATTGCGTTTGAATGTATGTACGTATGCATTTATTTGTTAGGTCATTCAGCTTCGCGAGAAAACAGACGAGCGAGGAAGCGGGGTCTTGGAGAATTTTTCTTTGGCATCGTGGTGATTCAGAATTTTGACATCAACCTTTTAAGTTCGCTGAATGTCGCGCTGTGGTAAACAAAAGACCAAATTTGCGTACTTTACGTTTAGGGATATTATTTCATATGTTGTTTACAGAAAGCAAGCAGCTAAATGAGACAGGTAGAAAACCTATTTTCCCAGTGAACATGAGATGTCATCAAAATTGGTTGTACAGAAGAGCTGAGCTAAACTTGCACACACTTATGCAGCAAGAGATTAATTTACCGGATATTCAACTGCTCTGCCACTTTCGATCCCGGAAATGTAGTAGAAAAGTGGTCAAGGGCAAAGTTCCTGAACAGTGATCAGAACTTTCCCGAGCCGGATGTATGTTCAAGCCTGCTTAGCAATAGCTGCCTCCCGAACAAAGCTGCAAAAACTATAAGCCTTCGCTGATCCCCTGATGCACACCTATCAAGGGCAACCGAATATTATGAAGAAAGAAAAAAAAAATCTTGACATTTCAAGTATTTCCCAGAAAAATGCTAAAACCAGGAATTAAGGGGAGGGGGTGGGGGGATATTTTCTGAGAAAGCTCACTGCCAGTGGAACGATAAAATCACGGATATTTGTAACAAGTTGTAGTCAGTGATGAGTCAAAAGACCAGCACGGCCACAAAAAAAGCAAACGAAAGGTCACCGTCGCCATCAAGGACGTTCCAGACTGAGGTCCCTCTGGTCACCAACACGCTGTTTGCTCCCGCTCCGCTTCTGTTACATCCGGTTTCAGAACATTTTCCAAGGCACTGAGTTTCAGTGCAGTGTTGCGTTTGAATTCTTACTTTTACACTTTTGCCAAAGTATAAAAAAGCACATGAATCGAGTAATGCAGCCTGAAGCATAACGATAGCTGGCAGCGTCTGGTGTTCCTCAGAACGGTGCGTGGTTGTGTCGTCTACTCCTCCGCTGTGCACCTCAGCCGGACACAAACACGAGGGCGTTCAGGACGACGGTTGGAAAAGATGATAATACGCCAAAACTGTTAGTGCAAGAAAAATTCGAAAGATTTTTACATGGAGGTGTTGTGGAATTATATGCGAATCTAGTCCGATGGGCACGAAATTCAACTAAACAGCTGTGCATAAACAGCCATTAAAGTCAGCTCAGAAGTGGATTAAATTGCATGGAAAAGCTACAAAATGAATCCACAGATGCAAATCAAGGCTCAAATTCCTAGAAAAAAAAAGAGACAAAAAAGGCTGCACCCAATCAAACTGTGGACAAAAAATAACACGGGGGCACCGTTAGGGGCACGAGCGAAGCGGTACTGCGTATAGGCTGTGTCAGAGATAACCACTCCGCTTGAAAATCCGTAACTGGGCAGCATCCCTTCCCCACTCCTACCTTTCTTCACTCCCGCCTTTCTGACGGAACTGAATGTGTCAATGCTTTTTTACAGACACGGAATATCCGCAGATAAAAGCTGCTCGCAGCATGTGTGATGTAGTTGTGGAACAGCGAGATGCTGGGTGTAGCGGCGCCAGGCTCTTTTTGCCCTGGACTCCTCAGTGCCTTCTGTGAATGAAAAATGTCGCTGTGAAAAAGCGTACTCGACCAAAACTGTTTACAAGAAATTCCTCCTCCAACTACTTCCACTCCGTTTTATTTTAAATAATTTGAAACTCCGCGGAATTTAATCACGTGCTTTAGTGAAAGAGCAGCTGAAATGGCGATTGAGCCGTACTCCAAAGATTCCTGCTGTTGCTTTGAAGGGGATTAACCATGTCGGCTCTGCAGTTCACGGATGCTCTGGGTTTGGTGCATGCTTGCAGACGGGCATGCAGGAAGCTGCTGAAGGGCACAGGCTACGTGCAGATTATCAAAATTCAGACTAGGCTGACACCTCTGGCCGTGAAAAGGGCAAGCCAACTCTTAAACTGCAATAAAAATTTACCAAACGAGAAGTGAACCCCTTGAGCTGGACGTAGAAGATCTGGCAAAATTCTGCGGGGGCACTCGAACACTCCACGCAAAACCCGTCCTCATTACGGGAGCTTGCTGCAGACTGTTCGCACAGCCCCACCCTTCGTTGCAAGCAACCTTTCCATTCG